TATATATATATATGTATGTGTGTGTGTGTATTTGTTTGCTATTCATTTTAGCACACTGTCCCATTCTCAGGTCTAGATTTGGGGCAGTTGGTCCTGGGGACAGGTTGGACAGAAGGGGCCAGAGTGCAGAAGAAGCCAGAGATAAGAGTGAGGCCCAGGCCCCCCCATGCACAGAACATGGACCAGCCATAGCCATGGCTGATGTCATCAGGAAGTCCATACAGGTAGCGGGGGTAGCGGGAGAGCTCAAAGTTGATTCCAGCCACGCACGTGCACAGTGAAATGATGCAGAAGGTTCCTGGAGGAGAGTGGGAAGGGGAGAAGGAGGGAGGAAAAAAAGAAAGAGAAGTTAGAAGAGTGATAGACATACCACTTTCCAAGTCTCCTGAGAAGAGCTGGTGCAAGCAGTAAGGAAATACCTAGGGGAAGATGTTTGTATAGAAAATGTCTTAGTCTAGTGGCTCCATGGGGAAAGAATTGAGTGCCAAAGGAGCCTTGAATACTGATCTGATGCTGAACAGAGCTGTTTGGAGAAACTTCAACAGGAACAGTGTTTTCATTTACAAGCACTCCCTTGGGAACCAGAATGCTTCATGAGACCATGGATTTTTCTGGAATTTTGCTTTAGACAGAGTGAATCATCATGTTTCAATACTTTCTTGGGGAAAAAAAAAGCTTGATCTTTTTGTTTAATTTCATTTTTTCTGTGATGGATTTTGTAGAAGAAAATATTACAAAATACTTCACATATTTGGCTCTGTTGAAACGTACATTTGAAACGACTTGGGAGATTTTTTTCATATTTTTCTTATATAAAAATTTGAAATCTTTCATTACACACCCTTTTTTTAAATACCACTGTCAAAACCTTCAAATCTCTCTCGAAATTCAGATTCTACTCTCTGTATGACTCCAGTCCCAATCTTGATGCCCTCTGCAGTGCTGGGGAAATTTCAAATTATCCTTGTTTTCCATCCCTGCATCAGTATCTAATTTCTTCCTGAGAGCACTGTGAGGACAAGCTTCATGACTCTCTCAGGTGGTAAGTGTTATGGGAAGGCACGTGTGTCAGATGAAACTGAACCTTAGCCCACCCAGATGAGTCCAGTTTTGATCTTTGGCCTCCAGCTTCATCAAAGCTAAACTCTTGAGTTCCTGAAATGTCACAGTTGCCACCCACACACCAAATAATGGATAGCTACAGATGCTACGCATCTGTCTCATGAGATAACAACTGAAGTCATCATAAAGTTGGCAGTTTATTTTTACTCTCTAATTCCTCCCTATGTGGGCTTCTTTGAATTGCCTGAGAGCCCTGGTCACAGAAGGCCCAAGCTGCAGGAGGTACTATGCCTATTGAAATGAACCCAGCCTTCTTGCCTCTCACGGGCACCCAATTAGTCTACAATCAGCTCTCTGGACTTTAGCAAAAGCCTTGCGAGATCCCAAGCTCTGGAGAGGTCTTCAGAGATGTCCTGCACTACTTCAAAGCAGGACAAATGGGGAGGTATCCCTTGCAGAATCTCTTACCGAGGTAGTTTGATTAGAAACCATGCACCCTGTTCTGTGTTTTACCATGTCACTTGGGTTATCCAGTAACACGAAAGTGTCTGGCAAGAATGTGGTTGCTCTCTGTGTGACATGTCAACACGACTAGCACATTGTTGGATTGAGGATAATAGGATCCATCAGAGCTACTGTGCTCTGAGCTAAGCTCCATGGCTCATTTCAAATGGCTGTGGTTAGAATATGACATGAAAGGCCTTTCTTTGCTAGCAAGAACATGATAATTTCAGCTCTCTTGAAATGTAAGATTGTTAAGAGAGGTGGGTGGGAAAATCTGTGCGGCCAGACTGGAGCTGCATTTCCTAAGTACAAAAGGAAAGGAAATAACTTTGTATTTCAAATACTTCCCATGCTTTCATGCTTTGTCTTGGCTGTTTTGATCACAAGCTCTACAATGCACCAAGTGTTGCTTATCTTTGTATTCGAACAGTGCCCAAATATAGTGGCACTCCACCTTGATGGGGGTATTCTGCCCCATAACAAATGAACAATAAGGAAGAATGAGTAACAACAATAGAGAATAAAGCAAATCATGAGCATGAGACTTCTTCAAATAAAGGCTGCCCTGTTCCTGCCCCTTCATGGGAGAATGTGCTAATCCCATGGCGACAAATACTGACTGTGACGCACAACATTAGAGGATGCATAGTACAGCCCTCAGCCAGTCACCCTCCTGTGTTTCTGAAGGATGTTTTGTATGGCACAGTTCTATTCATTACTGACACAAAAATGCTATTTCATACCACCTAGAGGAATCTTTATGGCCATTATACAAGTCCTATGTGTTGTTTGTATTCAGCCAAGCAAGGAATTTCCCACTTGTAGTTAATCAGGCCTCTCATCAGGAGGGTTACTAATGAAAACTGAGTACAGTTACTACCTCACGATTGTTTGGTAACTTCTCCTCATGAACTGGCAACTATAACACAAAGGTTCATCCATGCAAATTGCATGATTGTTGGCCATCATAGTGAAAGTCATGGGTGGAAGTGATGCAGAGGTTAACTTGAAAATGTAACCTGTACTAACCTGGATAAGACACTGAGCTGGGACAGCAGGAGGAAGGAGGCTGTTGCCGCTGCCCATGACACTGCCTGCACTATAGACATGGTGCTTCAGAGGCAGCAGGATTGCAGCAAGTCATGATCACCCCCAACCCTGAGATTCTTTTTCTCCCCAGAAAATAAACTGAGCCCTTATTCACTTTCCTGGCAGGTTCTTGCCATCAGTGAGGTGCCCCCATACGTTGTATTAATGTCCCAGATCCCTGGGCAGCTGCAGCAATGTAAACTTCAATTTCTTTGTGAAAAACATTCCCCATAACTCTGACAGGGGGTAATAAGAGCTCACTGTGGATGTGCTTGTATGCAAGCTGGATGGGGGAGATAAAGACCACCTCCTTCAGCAGCTGTGGAGAGCAGAACGTGCTAAGTTCTTTGTCCTGGGATTTACACATTATCATGCTAAGCGAAACAGTAATGACTGAGACCAGGCAACAGTGGCAGTTGTGACAAAGGAAATTCACATGTCACTGCAAAATGCTTCAGTCAGGTGAGAGATGAAATTTCATGTAAAGCCATGTCTGTGCATAAGAAACTGCTGTTTGACGTGTATTCAAACCTCCATCGTGACTCCTTATTAGACAGCTGGGTTCCTCTTGGGCTGGTTTTGACAGTGCCTGTCCTGCTAACAGACTGATGATCAAAAGCAGGTTGAGCACCTGAGCTATTTTATACCTCGTGGCTATCTTGTGCTTTGCCTTCTTATATATTACTGAAGAAGGATATTAAACATCACACTGAATGTCCCTTCCAATTAGACTGGAAGTTTGTTTAGGACAGAGATGGACTTACTTGTTACAGATGTGTATAAGATTGAGGTCCTTCCATCCTTGCTGCAGGGGCAGGCATGGTCAGAAGAGGGATGGCTGGGAAAGGTAATACCGTTGACGGTCAAAGCCTAATTCGGTGTGGATTACGAGTCAGAGAGCTTTGCTGTAGCTGGTTTTAAGCATAATTATATCAAGCAGAGCTGTGGGGCTCTGCTGCTGGGAATTGCAGATTTTTTGGTAAACGTCCATTTTCTTCCCGATCAGCCCAGCTGTGTGAGGGGCTGCAATGCCTCCGTTTGCAGTTTTCGAACCTCACCTCCAGGGGAGAGCAGAACTGCTTCTGAGTGAACTGATTTAAGCACAGACAGGCTCAAACCATCCATATCAAATACATTTGAATTTTGCCTCACGCTAGTGAACCCTTGAACCATGTCAGAAGCCATGTCCTTTGCCCACAGACCTGGCTCAGCTTCCACAGTGATAAGAGCTTGAGGGATTTCCCAGGGTCTGTGGTGTCTGGTGAGACAAGAACTGCTGCCTTTCTTAGATATACTGCAAATGAAGGTGAGACTTCGTGGTGCTAGTGCGCAAACAGACCCCGCTGGCAGGAGCTTCATCTAAACATCCTTCTGCCTAGGATCAGGGCTGAGGTGTCAGACTAGCTTCAAGGAGGCATCACCAATTTGAAGTCAAGGGAAATCCAAAAAGCCTGTAATTAAAATGATCCAGGCACCAAGCCCACCTCTGAGACCCTCCTCTCTACAAATAATTTTTCTCATTATTTGGAAAACATTTCTTCCATGTCTGGTGGGAAGATGCTTGTTTCTCTCCCTTCACCCCACAACAGGCAGAAATGACTCACAGTGCTGTACAAAGTAAACAAACCCAAAATCCTCATTCTTCTCCCCTTCTGGGTTTGGGTTTTGTTTTTTTTGTCAGAGATGGAAATGTCAAGTATTACTTATGAACACTAATAGATAAAAAAAGAAGCAGAAAGGTATGGATTTTAAGATGTCCTCTGAAACCATGCAGTTCTCAAATAAATGCAAATCTCTGCCTTTTAAAGTATCCCTAGCAGCTGCGATTGATGGCAATTTGTGGCCACTAATGTCTTCGGAAGGAGTACTGTTTATTTAATTATCATCACTTTTTTATTATAGGGTTTTGGGAGAAAAAAATCTCAGAAGTGAAACAACATTATCTTTACTTTCCCTCTGCCCTACTAGCTTTTATTATTGTCAAGGTACGTCAAACAAACAAATAAAATGAGGTCTGATCCTAGAGTGGAGTGTGTACCATTAGCTATTTAAATTATATCACAATCAAATGAAATTATTAAAGAATAAACCAAATTCCCTCCCAACACAGTGATGACAAAAGCCTTTTGGAGGGAGCAGCTTTGCAGTAAACTCCTTCTGTGCATGGATTAAACGGCTCAGCAGCATGCAGCTCTTGAGAGCACTTTATTGCTCTGTGCATACACGCACAGAATATAAATTATTGCTTAATTATGTACTGTTCCATCAGAGGCAGCTTGCAGCATCACCGATAGGTTGCAGAATAGCCAGGGGTTTACTGGAAAATTGTCCTTATAAAAAAGGCTGAGATGGAAGGGTAAGTCTGACTGGGTGATGGAGATTTAGTGTGGTGCCCTTGTGAGACCGTATGCGCACCTGGGTTGGAACTTCATGCATTTTTATTTTATACCATGAGCCAGAGTAAAGTGCAGGGTCTGTAGTGGTGCTGTGATATTGCATTATAGCTCTGTCAGAATGTGGTTTGCATTTGGCCTTTGGCCTCCTACTTCAAAACGTACCAGTGGCATCTGCACCGCACCAGAGCTGTGAGCCTGCTGCATGTTACTTCAGCAGCAGTGCCTGTCTATTGAACTGCCACCGCAC